AAAGTTTGACAAGTCAAAGTTATGACAAAGTCAAAGTTATGATGCAAAGTCTAAATTATGACAAATTATGAGATAAAAGTTTACAATTATGACAAAAAGCTGAAATAAAAGACAAAATTTGAAACTGACAAAAAAAAAAATTATATAAAAAGTTGAAATTATGATCTAAAAACAACTTTGACATTAGAAAAGTCAACCTTATGACAAAAGTCAAAATTAAGACATAAAAAGACATTACATTATGAAATAAAAAGTCATTTTTATGTCATAATTATGACTTGTGTTTCACAAAAAGTAGGCAGCAGTCAGTGTGTAGTGCACATGTATGCAGTAAGCAGCATGCTAGTATCCATTAGGAGTACAGTCTCTCTCTCTCTCTCTCTCTCTCTCTCTCTCTCTAATTATGACATTAAAAATGTCGAGATTTTGACAAACACTCGAAATTATGACATTAAAAGTCAATGAAATAAAAAGTCATAATCATGAAATGGAAAGTCTAAATTATGACCTAAAAACATAATTATGACATTAGAAAAGTCAAACTTATGACAAAAAAGACTACATTGACACAGTCAAAATTATAACATAAGATCCAATTAAGAAATAAAAAGTCATAATTTTACAAGAACTTTTTATGTCACAATTATGACTGTTGTTACATCATGTGTTTCATAAAAAGTAGGCAGCATTCAGTGTATAGTGCACAGTGTGTAGCAAGCAGCATGCTAGTATCCATTAGGAGCACAGTCTCTCTCTCTTTCTCTCCCCTCTCTATCTCTCCTCCTTCTGCCCTCAAGCTCAAAAAATACCCCGTGGTTGAGGTCTGATCTCTCCGGATATGCCTTCATATAAAACACATGACATAAAAACAAAATAATGTTTTATTTGCGTTCTCCATAGATCGCTCTCAACCACACAATTCAGCCAGACACTCGCTCTCTCTGAAGGGGTCCAAGGCCTCAGTCAAACAGCTGCCTCACGGGAGATGATTGTGTTCCCATGAGAAGGGTTTACACATCTAAAATTAGTGCGCTGGCATGGACAGGTTAGCCCTTTCCGTGGGGCATTGCATAACGTGGTCGGATTCTGCCTACTTGTGTAAGCAGCTGGGTGAAACGCTGCCTCTGTAGTCATGTGCTCATCCCGTTCTGTGTCTGAATAGAGCTTTCATGAAAATAAACCTGAAACAAGCTTATAGATAGACTCGTCAGTGACATTTGTTGACACAATAACGTCCACAGCACCAAATGCCTACACGACACAGGCAAAATACACTCTCAGAAAAAAGGTACAAAGTTGTCACTGGGACGATACCCTTTGAAAAGGAACACCTTTGTACCTTTTTACCCCTAAAGGTTGCATATTAGTACTTTAAAATGACATATTAGTACCTAAATGCTACATATTAGTACCTTTTGAAAGGGTTCTGCCTTAGTAACAGCTTTTGTACCTTTTTTTTTAAGAGTATGGTCTAAAAACATGTTTTAATAATATTAATCATACATGCATTAATAAAATACTAATATCATTAGCAATATTATAAACCTATATTTATATAAAATGTCCATTCAGGTAATGTGTACAAGCATTGGTGTAATTTAATTTAATTTTTAATTTAATTTAATTTAATTTAATTTAATTTAATTTAATTTAATTTAATTTAATTTAGTTTAGTTTAGTAATTTTATAAAATACAGATACATTCATTTTATAAATAATTTTTTCTATTCTTTAATATAGTAAAAAGATGGATAAATCTTCAGTAGTTTTGAAAGAAAAAAATAAAGGTTTAACTTTTGAACTGGGTAATTCACCTGAAGCAGATTTAAAATGTAAATGCACAGTTTCCAGGCTTTTTATGTGTTATGCCAGGGCTTTTTATCCATTTTATGTTAAAAATATGTGCCAGAAAATATAACTTGTACCCATTTTATATGAAATTACCTGTCCAGCAACTATAAAAATTGTATTTTTGCAAATCTCAGCATCTTTTGTTTGGCTCTTTTTAATAGCATTTCACCTGTATTGTATTGTAATTACAAGTGTATTAAAACGGTTGTTGTCAACTACACAAAAGATTCCTTTAGTTTTACATTAGCTTACAGGCTTTTTGTTGATCTGTGCTGCATTGAAGTATGAAATTAAGACAGAACTAACTCTTTGAATTAGGTAATATTATGGCCAGCTGTTCAAAATCGTTTATAGTGATTGGGTATTGAATCTTAAAGAACTATGACCCCTAATTTGCAAATCTTTAGAATTAAACTTAAATAGATTTGATCAGGAAACCATGTGCCGTGACTCTATATTGGATGCTCTAAATGCACCATTTTTCTATGGTGATGTGAACTTTGCTCAAGCAGAATTAAATAGGCAGCATCTCTGAGGACATCAGAAGGTCAACAGCTGAGGTTTGCCTTCTAACTTATTCATAAAGTCACACTTTTTTCAAGTTCACTGTCACACCCCGCTGTTTTACACCTTGGCCTGTGTATAAACCCAGACAGACTGATCATCCTGGATGTTTGTTATTATAAAGTGCAGGCTTATATGTTTGCCAACCATTTAATTATACTGCATTGTTGCAGAATATATGATGCGCTGTCACTTGTGACAGTTCTGTAGTTGAATACAAAAAAAAAATCAATTATGTAATTTTCTAAATAGCCAAGCCAAGAGTATATGCAATGGAACAAAACCATTTCAATGTCTTGCTCTCTTTTATGTCTCCATAAATTTCATGCCTGCATGTTCTGCTTTAGCAGCATTTGTCTCGCAGGTGATATCCAGCAGGAGATGCGGTTTTCTCTCTGGTGTTAAAGCCAAACATGTTTGCTGCTTGTTATCCTTTCCCTCTTTTGACTGCCAAGTCATAACCGCCTGGGGTGGTTTTAGTGGAAAGATTTAGATATCACAGATTATCCAGATTTTGAAGGATTTCCTTGACATTCCATTAACTTTGACATTGTGTTCAGCTGGCAAAGTCAAAACCGTTTGCACAGATTCGGGCGTTTCGTTAATCACGATTTCAAAAGGCCAATGCGACGGTCACAATTACAGTTACTGTAGAGGAATACATCAAAATATGAATAATATCTACTGTGATAAAATAATCACTACCCCCACCTTCTGCCAGCAATGACATCATTCGTGCATACGGGGGAGGACGGCACGATTACAGTCATGCACGGTTAAAAAAAGACTAGTATAAGAGACATTTATGCTATAGTTTCATTATGACAGTATCATTTTCTAAATTGTTTATGGTGGTTGAATTATCAGTAATGCCTTCCAGGAGAGAAACAGTAAATCGGTCCCACACGACTGTTTATGTGGCTGTTTTTGATCTTTCGAACAGCAGGCATAAATGTTGGACTAATACTTGTAATGAGGCTTGACACGTCTTGCGCCGGGCAGAAAACCACTCAAATTACTGCAGATATCAATCTCTCCCTGCTTCAGGTCACTTTCGCTCCTATAAGCTTGAAGGTTTACGGCCAACATCTGCACCCACCCTCTTGAGTTTTCTCAAAAACCTATACTGAGAAAAATCACAGTTGTTTCTCCAAAGCAGTTAGAATAAAAAGAGAATTCTGCCTACATTTGAGTTTCAAAAGTCCCTAGTAATCTCAAAAATGTCTCCTCTGGAATGTCAGAAAAGATCTTGATAATGACTCAAACTGTTCTCAGATTTACCAAAGCATGTAATCAATGGTCTCCATATGAACACAAACATCATTTTATAGTTCCATTTTTTGAATTACTCATGGGTTCGAATTTATGGAAGCCATTTCTTTTACATAAGAAAAAAATAATGTGTTGGTAAATCTAATTATGGCATAAAAAGTAGAAATGATGACAAAAAGTCATAATTATGAAATAAGTCAAAATTATGACATAAAAGCTGAAATTATGAGATCATTATAGCATTAAAAAGTCAATTGTTATATTTATGACTTTTTCTCTCATTTCGATTTATGTCATAATTTCATAATTAGATTTACTAAAGCATAATCTTTGCAATTATTGCATGAACATTCAAAAGAATGACAGTCATAATCAAATAAAAAGTCAAAATTGACAAAATATCAAATTATGAGATGCTAAGCCAGAAATTGACATAAGTCAATTTTTGTCATATTTGACATTTTGTATCATAATTTCGATTTATGTCATAATGTTGACTTTGTCATAATTAGATTTACTAAATAATTATTTTTGACCCAATTATGACATCACAGTCAAAAGTATGACAGTCATGATTTTAAAATAACTTTTTTTATATATATAATTGTAACTTGGTATATACTACATTTGACTTTTGATCTCATAATTCTGTCCTTTTCAAATGTTAATTATGACTTAGTATGTCATAATTTTGACTTTATATATGAATGTAACTTAGTATATAGCCATATGAGTTTATGGGACTAAGTATATTAAAAATTGGAATTTATTTCATTATTATTACTTTTTATCTCCTAATTTTGCCTTTTTATCTCTGTCATAATTTGGACTTTATATAGAACTGCAACTTAATATATTATAAATTTGACTTTATTTCGTAATTATTACTTTTTTCTCCTACTTTACCTTTTATCTCATAATTATGACTTAGTATGTTATAATTTTGACATTTCATCTTATATTTGTAACTGTGTATCTCTCTAAAAGTTATGACTTTTGAATGCACTAAATGCAAAGTGCTTTGGATAACAGCATCTACCAAATGTTAGAAGCTAATTTTTGTCTGTTTATTATGGAATTGTAGAAGCATCGGAGACAAAGCTGAAGCATATTGTAATTCAGGACTCCATGAAGTCTCCTGAGCTATGAAAGAGCGATCTCTACAGTTTTCCTCTGAGTCTCCCTGCCATCCTAGATTAAACGATGCACTGAAATGCAATGACAAACACTGAGAGAACAAAGAAAAGATTTAAATAGATGCTGTACTGTGGATGCAGTCAGTCTAGTGCATGTTTGAATTGAGACGTGAGCTGTCTGCTGTCATGTCTGTCTGGCAGTGGAGTCTAAATCAACAGGTGCGGTGTGAATCGTACCATGTGCCGCAGCCATGAGTGGAGAGGGAACACTATGTATCCCTCATTAGGCGAACTTGCTCTCTGCAGCTCAATGAGTCGGGTTGCCGTGGTGATGAGCGCGTTGTCATGGTTGTTTTTGGTTGAAGTCTATATCCCTGATGATGTGAGAGCACAGGTCATTTTGTTAGACAGCAGAGATGCATGAATCTTCTTTAAATAGAAACAGTGATACAACACATGCTGACTACAGTAAAGAAATACAACATTCACACAGATATCAAACACTGGTTGATGTGTACAGTAGTTTACATGCATGCAAATGTCATTGCCATTTCTGCATTCTGTTTCCTAGACCATCGAAACAAGCATTGACCCTTGGATGGATGCATTTAATTAATATGTAAAATTTTTCTAGATTTTTACAATATTTAATACAGTTACATAATACATTAACACATTTTTTGCTTATACACACACACACACACACACACATACATGTGTATATTTAAGAAATATAGAGAGACGCGCAGAAGCAGCATGCAGGTAAAGCACACAACTGTCATCTCTTTCTCTCGATCGATCGATAATTAATTAAAATAAATGCTATAATTCATTCAAATAAATGTGATCTTACCGCCAGTGCTTTTCCCAGGAACTTGGCAGCATTTGGTGGCATATTGGTTGGCCTGGACAGCTAATGAAATATGCCATGCCAAAGACAAACGTGTCTTCTCATTCAAAACCTTTCAGACGTGTTATCATTACAGGCTGGGGAAGCATTAGCCAGGACAAACTCAATGTCAAGGAGCCGCAGCAGAATAATAGCTTTGTGAAACCAGCCCATCTAAATGCCTCCAGGGCTCCTATCGACTTCTCTGATGATATATGTGCCGGTAATGTGTGAAAAATGACAGCTACTATTGCAGATGTGGCAAGGACGTGGTATGTATCTTGAATAAAAATATGCATCGCATTAACCTTTGATTGAATGTTCTTATTATTGCACAGTTCATCTCTGCCATGCAATAATGGTTGCGTATGTGTGCATGCATGACCAGCCCATACGGTCGATGACTCATCGTGCAGATGAACTACCTGAAACAACAGCGTTGTGGACTTCATCCGCTGCACTGCATAGCTGCTGGGGTTCTGTTAGGCATGCAGAGAAGGGGATTCCGCCTAAGACGGAGCGTGCATGAGCGTTTCTGCGGCTGCGCGGATGTTCCCGAACAGCCGACCATTAATGAGGATGACTCATCCCTAGAAACTCCACTGGATGGGTGCGGAGGTGATTCACCATGTGTCTGTGTGCTATCCAAGGATGCCCTTGAGTCCAAACCCCAGAAAAGTGTCACGCTGTGCATAGTTTGTGTTTCCACTGAGAGTTCGTAACGACAGAGGAGGTTTGAGGTCACAATCTGCTTGGGGTCCTTTTTGCCTTCATGTTTCATTAATTAGTAAGACTCTCTGATTACAGCCTTAGCTTTCATTTACGGCTATTTTGAGAATGACATATAGTTTATGCACCGCCCACCTTACGCCTTCCAACTGTGGAGACTGCAGCTTTGGGCTCGAGAAAAACATAATTTATTCTTTGTTAAATAGGTTTTATGGTGGCTTTTTTTATGCGCTTTTTTTTTCTAGACATACTGAGACATTGATTAAAGTGCTCCATATCCGTTGATATGCAGTGAAATCACAAAGCAAATGCAAACAAATGTTCTCCATTCCTAATATACTGTATACGGTACATCCATGGACATACAGCTATTTAAAAAAAAAAAATGGCATTAAGGCATTTTGCTGCTTCTAGCATTTTACTGTCACTTTGGATAGAAGTCTAGTCTTATGTAAGGTCGCAACTACTAACTGTTTTTTATGTTTGCATTTATCTATCCACATTAGTTTAAAATCAAATGTTTGTAACCTTAACATGTTTGTCTGTCAGATGTTTTAAAGATACAATCTTTGTCATGTATGTCTTTTAGTTTTTTTTTTCTTTTTAAGATTAGCCCTGCCAGGAGTGGGGTTTGAACCCACGAGGACATTTAACCACCTTAACCACTCGGCCACCCTGGTCACATGTTAGTTGTTTATCACTGTGAGTTTTATGCTAGAATTTATCAACATTTGTTATAAGCAAATCAATCTTTGTCATGTATGTCTTTTAGGTCTTTTAAAGATCAGCCCTACCAGGAGTGGGGTTCGGATGTACGAAGACATTTGTCAGTTGAATCTTAAATCCAACGCCTTAACCACTCGGCCATCCTGGGGTGCATTTCCCAAAAGCAACTATGGTCACAAATTCCGTCGTTACCAATAGAGTTCAATGGGACTTACCACCGTAGTTAGCTAAGGACGCTTTTGGGAAACGCCTCCCTGGTCAGTAAGTTCAAGTTGTAATCATATCAAGCCCACCTGTACAAGTCTGATGAGCATTTCAGTGTACCAGAATGCCATTATGACTGTTTAAATGTTTGCTTTTACCTGGAGCGTGGTTCAAACCCACGAGGACATTTGTCAATTAGATCTTAAGTCCAACGCCTTTACCACTCAGCCACCCTGGTCACATGTTAGGTGGCTATTACTATGATTTTCATCTATCCACATTTGTTATAGGCAAATCAATCTTTGTCATGTATTTCTTTTAAGCCTCCTACACTGCACGATTTTAGCAATCCTATAAGATCATTGCAGATCACACTGTGATCACTGTGAAAAGCATAAAAATCACAGTAATAAACAGCTATCATGTGACCAGGGTGGCCGAGTGGGTAAGGCATTGAGCGCAACGTCTTACCTGCTCAGCCATCCTGGTCATGTTAGTAATATGTAATCTATCAAGCCCACCTATACAAGTCTGATGAACATTTCACTGTACAAGTACACCATTATGAAAGTTTTTTTAAATGCTTACTTTTACCAGGAGTGGGGGTCGAACCCAGTCCAATGCCTTAACCGCTCGGCCATCCAGGTGACATGCATTAGTATGGTTTGGCATTTTGTCCTGCACATCTTATCAAATTCAACCATACAATACATGCATCCTCAAGTTGCTCTTTTAGATATCTTAAATATTTGTCCCCTACCACTCCGCCATCCTGGTCACATACTCGCTCAGTTTGTCCTGCATATCCGATCAAACTCAACCATACATGAATGCCAGGGCTGGGCAAAAAAAAAATCAATTTTTTGATTAATCGTTTTTTTAAATGACGTCGATTCGATATCAATTCTCAAAAGCGGCGAATCGATCTTTTCCGGTATTTATTTCCGCAAACATTTAAAACAAGATCTGGGCCTGTATTTATCAAGCTTCTCAAAGTGCCATTTTAGTCTTAAGTGCTGAGAATTCATTAAATTTACTCCTACTTTCAAACTTAAGTGTAAAAGCAAGTTATCAAATTTCTTAAAGCTAAGAATCACCCTTACTCTCCCAGTTATTTAAGACAGCTCGTGAGGTCGCTCAAGTGGTTAGGAGTTGCCAGTAGGGGCTTGTGATGGTGCTGAGGAGACAGAGATGTGCGCAAATCTTTCAGGAGAGGAAGAATGTTCTTGAAATGTTTGACGACGAGCAGTTAATAAAACAGTTACATTTCCTCAGTTATTCAAACAGAAACAAGCAAAGAATATTTACATTACCAAAGAACATCATAACTGACTTCAGTCTAGCACGAGTATTATATGCTCTTTAAATACACTCCCGTTATAATCAGTGAAGCTACCTACACTGTATCATGAATAAATCTCTTACCCCTTATTTACACTGCACACGTTTGCGGTGCATTACGGCTCCGACACGGCCACCGGAGCTGATCACGGCTACTCACCAGCCGCACCACGGCAAGTTTCTGAAGCGGCTCTCCTCGCTGCATCACTAAAGATAGGCGCCTATATTTTTGACTGATAATAATAATAATAATCAGCCACAGGTGATATCTCTGACTATAGTCGATACATACTATCGTCTACCGGCACAACCCTAAATTGAAGGTTGTGATGACGATTCGTTTCCTTACCATAATGTATTCTCTTGAAAATTCTTTATTGTCAAATGTGTGTTGAATGTAAACTCCTATTAGGAATTTAACCATTCAATGTGAATTCATCTGAGAATATTCTTAAATAAGGAAATCTATTCAGTGATTGGTCCATGTGTATTTCGTCATCCAAAATCCTGTTTGTGGCTCAGCAAAGTGTCGTGAGTCAACTCTAAAACTGACACTTAAGATTTAGTCCTATACTTCGCTTAAATTACAACTGAGATGCTTGGTAACTAACTTTTAAGCACAGCTTTGAGGCAATAATTTTTTTACACTTAAGTCAATTCTTAGCAGCGTTCTTGAGAGCAATTCTCAGAGGCTTGATAAATACAGGCCCTGAATAATGTGAATCTTATCATTAGTCTTCTCCACTAAATGTCACCCTCTTATTTACCTTGCGCAATGTTACAACGGAAATCCTGTCATTCATTCAGTGCTTATCATGGCGGAGATACTGTTGACAAGAGCCAAGAACAAAGCAATATGCGTGATTTGCAATGCTCAGGTAAAATTCTATAGTAATAGGCCTACTACAAATGTGTGGAAGCATTTGACATCACGCGTAAAGGCGCCATGATTTCCGCAATGAATGAATGAATGGATGGCGGATGGTGCGACGCATTGTTTTGTTTACTACACACTTACTAAAGCGCGGATGATGCTCGCAGTGTTTTCAGCCTCTGTCGTCTCACTATGATGATATGAATACACGAATATAATCTCCAGCTGCTCTAAGAGTCACTTCATTAGCATTTTACCATTTAATTTGACAAACTACCATCATATCACATACACAGCAGCTGCAAGTTCCTCACGGCAACCCGTCAAAATAAAAGTTTAGCTTAACAGGAAGAAACTGTGTCAGAAATATATTACTATTTAGCAGTCTTAAGACTTAATGTAACAACAATGCTACTACTACTACTAA